TCCATAGGGTTTACTTGGCTGTAATCTTAATGGATTCCTTGATTCATAGCAATGATTGTGAGGATAGCACAGGATCAGGCCGCGTTTCGTTCTGTTGTACATAGGGTCGCTATGAGTCAGAACCGACTTGATGGCACCTAACAGTAACAATCTTAATGGAAGCAGATTGACAGGCCTTTCTTCCACAGTACTGCTGGGTGGGTTCAAACCACCAACCTTCAGGTTAGTAGTCAATTGTAGTTTGTGCCATCTAGGAACCCTGGTGGCACAGTGGTTAAAGCACTCATCTGCTAACTGAAAGCTCAGCTGTTTGAACCCACCAGTCGCTCCATGGTAGAAAGATGTGGCAGTCTGCTTCCATAAAGATTACAGCCTTGGAAACCCTATGGGGCAGTTCTACTCTGTCCTATAGGGTCACTACCAGTTGGAATTGACCCGACGCAATGGGTTAGGTTTGGGTTTTGGTAAGGACCTGGTTATCCATCCAAAAAAAAAAAACCAAACCCGTTGCCATCGAGTTGATTCCAACTCATAGCAACCCTATAGGACGGAGTCGAACTGCCCCATAGGGTTTCCAAGAAGCAACTGGTAGATTCGAACTGCCGACCTTTTGGTTAGCAGTCAAATGCTTAACCACTGCACCATCAGAGGTTCCAAAATCCCTGGGCAGGCTGGGAAAATCTTCAGGATGGGTAGTGAGGCCTGCAATCCTGAAGGTAGAAACCTCAACTTCACCACTTCCCATGCCAGTAGGGCTAGAGGCCAGGAGTCTGATGCTGGGCCCCACAGCAACTCTGCAGGGAAAGCAGATGTCCTGGGTCCAGCGTGACAGGAAGGTGCATCTGGTCTCTCAGTATAGTACCACCCCCACAACCTCAAGAAGAACCGGTGGGGAAAGCACAGCCCCTTCTCAAGCCCAGAGACAGTTCCTTCCTAGATTATAGACTTGGAGTTAAAAGTTACCCCTCCCCAGTGCCTCCTGGCCTCTGCCAGCCACCCACCAACCTCTCTAGGCCCCTGGCAGGGTCTGTGCCCTGGTCAGGGTAGCTGGCAGCCCTAGCTCTGGGCACTGTGTGCTTCCACCCCCACCCTCTCCCTGTTCCCAACAGGGGCGGGAGGAGGAGCCCAAGCTGGGGTTTGAGCCTCAGAGGGAAGGGGAACGCAAATCCAAAGGAATATAAAGGGCCTCGGAGGTCCCAGCCAGAGACCCTTTGCGGAGCCGCTCTACACCTGCCCAGCACCATGGTAATGTCTGAGTCTTGGACTCTGTCAGCTATGCCCTCCATGAGATTGGAGCTAGCACCAAGGGCCCCTCCCAGGCCCACTAAGGGAGGCCAGGGCAGCCCTCTCTGCCAGTCTGATAATGAGGAGCCAGGACCTCCTGTCCCTGCTTGGGGTGATTGGGGACGAGGGGAGCTCCTGGTCGAGAGAGCTGAGTGTCTCATGGGCTCTGGGGGTATTTATGGGCATCATATTGTGTGAATCACTGTGTGTGCCTTATCTGTGCATCACTGGGTGTGCACGTGGGAATCCCTGGACTCGTATTCCTGTTTGCGACTACGTTGTTCCACAGGTATTATTTAATCTACTAAGTGGCAGGCACTGTTCTTGGTGCCTATGATACATCAGCGGGCAAAGAACCCTGCCTTCGTGGTGCTTACGTTGGGGGAGGGGTGATGCTGGGGAAGGATGCAGATAATAAACATAATAAGTAAGTGTAAAATATAGTAAATTAGACGGTGATCAGCTCAATAGGAGAAAACGTGGAGCGAGATAACGGGACGGGCTGCAATTTTAAGTAGGGGTGTCAGAGTAGGATTCATTTAGAAGGTGAGTTTTGAGTTTATACCTGAAGCAAGCATATATCCAGATGAAGAGTCTTCCAGGCAGGGAGAACAGCGCGTCCAGCATTTTAGGGGAACAGCAAAGAGGCCAGAGGGGCTGGAGTTGAGTGAGTGTGGGGGAGGTGGGGGCGGGGGGAGGTGCGGGAAAGATGAGGTTAGAGGGCCGACCACGGGAGGCCTCCTTTCAGCAGCATATGCCTTCCTCATATATACACCCCAGGGCGCGCCTCCCCTACGCGCCGTGCGTCCCTGTTTACCTGGGTGCTTTGTGTGCATCACTGGGCATGTTCAGGTGTGCACCATTCCACCTGGGCACCTGGGTGTCTCTCACGGCGCTCGTGCACCTGTGTACGTCCCAGGGGCAGATAAGTTCCTCCATCTAAGCGTCCCTTAGACGTCGCGTGACCGTCCCGCGGCTCTGTCTGACCCCCCAACCCCAGACGCCGGCCCTGCGCTGCGCATGCGCACTGGTCCTGGTCTACCTGGTGCAGCTGCTCCTGCGGCCCGAGGGCGCCCTGGGTGAGGAGCTGGAAGTGTCACAGTCCCCGGGGCCCAGAGTCGCCGAATGGCTGACCAACTTTGGCCAGCTCAACAAGTACATGGAGAAGCTCTTCAACAGCAGGTGGGTCAGCAGAGTGGGGGAGGGAGAAAGGAAGGAAGGGGTTGAGGGAAGAAACGTACCCCTCCACCTGCACCGCAGCCCTCTGACCGCTGCAAGGACGTGTCCCCCAGCTTGAAGTCTAAGGACACCAAGAAATCTAAAGATGATAAAAACTCCAAGAAACCCTCGAATGCCACAAAAGTCCCACCACCGAACGCCAAGGAATCCCAACCACTGACCCCCTCCCTGGACCGCAGGTAGGAGAACCCCAAGCACTGCTGGGACCAAATCTGGGGCCTCCGAGCTCGGGCAGATTGGATGGGAGGGAGAGGAAGCCCCTGGAAGGGATACCAGGGCCCCAGGGACTTCCTTCTCCATGCTGGGCCTTGACTCCAGATTTCTGACCCAGGTCTCCCTAAGGCTGACCACTCTGTATCCTGAGAGGTGAAGCCTCAGCTCCCCACCCCTCAGTGAGAACAATAAAGAGAAACAAAGTCTGTTGCTGGTGTGACCTCTATGGGCAGTGGGCAGGAGGGGACCTGTCCTCAAGGGAGAAAGGGAACCTGGAGCTCCTTCTGCTGGAGAAAAAGACCTCAGCTGCCTGGGGGTCTTCCCCACCCACCTTCCCCTCCTTACACACTTACACCACTGTGGGGGTGGGGAGCTCTGAGCACAGAGAAAGTAGAGGTCAGAGAAAGAGGTTCTAACACCTTAAAGGAGGGACTTCATCCAGACACCACCACCACCCCCGCCCACCTCCACATTTCTACAGAGAATGGGGCAGCTTCGGATGCCAGCCTGGGTGTCAGCATTGGCACAGGAACAAGCAGCAGTCTTTTGTCTGCCCCTCAGTGCGCAGAGCATAAGGTGCCCACTTTGCTTCCTGGGCCCTGTCTGCCTCTTTGGCATTGAGCAGAGCAGGGGGAGGGTCAGGAGTCCAGCCAGGCCTGTCGCTGAGAAGCTGGGTTTGAGAGTGGCACTCTCCTGTGCCAGCCAGCCAGCGGCCATCAGGGAGACCTGGACAGGTGCAGGGGCCAGCTGGCTGCAGAAGCAGCTCCCATAATCCAAATCTCACACACACAGGTTATCCTGAAAACCAAAAAAAAAAAAAAAAAGCAAACCCGTTGCCGTGGAGTTGATTCCAACCCCTGGTGACCTCGTGTGTTGGAGTAGAACTACTCCGTAGAATTTTCTTGGCTATAATCACGTGGGGTCGCCATGAGTCGGGAGCTGACTCAGCAGCAGCTAACAACAACAGTCTTCATGGAAGCAGATTGCTAGGCCTTTCTTCCACAGCGCTGCTGGGTGGCTTCAAACCATCAACCTTTAGGGGACCTTGTTTGTCCTGAACAGGGTCCTACCCCTGGGAAGTGTCTACACTCTCCCCCGACTCAGAACCCATCCCCTTAGCCACCAGAGAAAATGCTGGGACTTCAAGCTCCATCATCCAAACTCAAACTCTGTCCTGCTGAAACCAGCCCCCACCCAGACACCTCCTTGGATTTAAGAAATCAGCTGAGCCATGCATTTGTGTAGCAACTGGGTCCTCTTGAAGACTTTTAGAGTCTGGCTCGATTTTCACATCATGTGCACATACCAGACAGAGCCAGGTCTTGAAGGGGAACACAACTGTGGTGTCATTGCCGTGGGGTCAGTGGGAGGTGCTGAGCCCAGCAAAGTCGACCACCTCATCCACCAAATCCACAAGCGCCATCCCTTCAGGCAGAGTAGCAGCGGGAGGAGGGCTGGGTAGGGGTGAGGGTGCAGAAGCCATCCCAGGAACCAGGCTCTAATCCTCTGACTTCACTCCACCCACCCACCCCCGACCCAACAATCGTCCTGTGTCACCAGCTCCAGACTCCTCCCCATCACAGTCCCCTCCGCTGGCCATGCTTCAACTGGACCCTGTGTCCCCTGAAAAGCGATGACCCAGCTGAAAACAACAGAGTGAGATGTGCTCAGGCTTGTCCGAAAGAGGGCAGCTCTGATGGCACCGAGGCAGCAGTGACTGCTTTAGCAGGAGAGTCATTGCTCCAGGCTGAGCCAGTGCCCCACCTCCACGCCAAGGACATAGTAGTATAAATTAATACTTGCACCAGGCAGTTTTGATGGGAAGACATGGAAAAGCATTGATGGGGGACTGCTGGGGGAAAGGCTGTCATCATGCTGATAATCTGGAAGGTCTGGGGCTGCTGAAATGGGAAAAGACTTGAGTTCAAGACTGTCGCCTCACTGACTGGTGAATGACCTTAGGGGACTCACTACCTCCCTTGGGGCTACCATTTGCCCTCTGAAGTGGAGAGGGTGCACGGAAAGGCTCTGGTGATCCTGCAGACTTTCTGGATCATTTATACCTCCCCTCCCTTTCTCCTCCCTTTCTCTCACCCACACATGTGCACTAGGCCTGCCCCTGCCCCCACCAGGGGTCCACAGAGAGATTGGCTATGACTTCGATTTGCTTTATTTAGCCTGTGAGGGAACAGGGAACAAGCTTCAGCCAGAGCCAAGGTACAGAGGGGGAACTGCCCAGGGCGTCGAGGAGGCAGGAGGTGGCTTTACAAGTCCATCGGGCTGAGCGCTCTGTAGGGAGGGGGCAGGGTGTGGTGTGGACAGGCAGTCCTCAGAACAGCCCTGGGCCCCTGTTCTCCCCACCTTTTCAAGACCCTAATCTGCACCCCCCTCCCGCCCCAGCTTCAGCCCCAACCAGACAGAAAAGAGAATCAAACCTACCTGGGAGCAGGTGCACAGGGGGCGCCACACGGCAGAAGTCCAGTGTGTTGTCTCTTTTCTGATTTAGGAAATAATATTAGAATCATTTATTCCCTCTCCTTGAGCATAGAGAATGTGATCCAGCTGGAGCTGGGCTCACAAGGACTCACAAGGACACATCAACTGGGCCCTGAGGTATAAAAACAATAGCTAAGAATCTTGGAAAATATCTTTTAGGGAAACTTTCACGTAAAGCCATTCAAACAGAACACAAAAGACTTTCCGCTCTTATCTTTTTCTATTAGCATTTAGTGAATAGAAATTTGCTGGACCAATGAAGACCCTTCTGACTCTTGTTACTGAAACCTGTACCAATGATTGTTAAGAAACACAATTTAAAATGTAGGATCACAGTTTCTAGCCAATCCGAAAAGGCAAAGCTTTCAATGGTTTTGCCCATTTGTAATGTTAATACATACTGATGGCTCTGTAACTGTTCTTTGGACTCGGGCAGACATGGCTGTGGCAGCATGCTTGTCCGTTTTCCCACTTTTGTCTGTTCTGTGATATTTCCTTGGACTCGGGCAGACATGGCTCTAGCAGCATGGTTGTCCGCTTCCCACTTCTGCCCTTTTGAATATATGCCGAATAAAACTTCCTTTTTGCTTTACTAAACTTTATGATGTTTTTCCCCTACAACATTTCCCATACCTGGGAAGGGAGAGGCAGCTGAGGCAAGCACTGTGCCCAGATGCCAGTTCACCTGCCTCATACCTACCTTTAGGCACCATCCTACCCAGGGAGCATGGGCCCAGGCCTGGTCAGGAGAGGTGCCTGTGTGCCCTGGAGCAGGCATGGAAGGCCAGGAATGCGGAGGGAGCCCAGGGTCCCAGGGGCTGGGATCTCTTCCCTCCCTCACACACACACCTTGGTTCGGTCAGCATGTTGATGGATCTGCGGAGTTCAGCTGCACGCTGGACCATCTGCTCCGGGGTGGCAATGTCACTCGGGTACACTGGCTCCAGCGGGGCTCCTCAGGCACCCAGCAGTGGCCGCAGCAACAGAGCCACGGAGATGGACAGGAGCAGCAGGGAGAGGCAGCGGTGTGCGGCGGCCATCTGAGAAGCAAGGACATGGGCCAAGCCATGGAGTGCAGACTCCTGGTGCCCAGGGACCAGGGCCAACTTGCCCAGAGCCCACCACAAGTACTGGAGCAGAGCCTACCCCATCTCCTAGACACCACCCCGAGGGCACGGATAGGCCTCTTCACGGGCAGCCCAACAGCCAGAGCTCAGCCAGTGCAAAATAGAAAAGTATGGCAGAGAAGGTGGGAACCTGGGGGACCTGGGGCAGGAGATGCAGGACTCCTGACATCCAGGGCCTGATGGCTCTGAGGAGGCAGGTGTAGGGGAGGGGTGGAAGGAAAGGGTGAAAGGCTGATGGGAAGTTGGGGCACTTCAGCTCACACACTGGGTGGAAAGACACAGAATGAACTTGTGAACCAAGGACAGAAACCCTTGGTCTTGTGGGTCCAGCCCTGCCCCCGACATACCCCCAGGGGGACAGGCTGACACAGGGCCTGGAGAAGACTGTTGCCGATGTCGCCCTGGGCAGACTGGCACAGTCACACACACACACACTCCTAGTCACATGGTCCTGTTCGCAGCCACAACCCTCCTTCCTGCACACATATTCCAGTCTCCTCAACAGACTGCTTTTCCAGTATGACAGGTTTTTCCAGATGCAGAACCACAGGCCGCCAATCCTGCAAAGCACCAACTCCTTCCCGCCAGCGCAGGCCCCAGTCCCAGGAGCCCCGACTGAGCCTGGCAAGCCAATCCCCCTCATTCTGAGTCCTAGGTGAGCAGGTGTTGGACCGAGTGGGCACCTGCCTCAGGCTGGATGGGTGTCCCCAGCCCTTGGCCGTGCCTCTTTATACGCCTTAGCCCCCCACCACCAGTCCCTGCCTTCCATCAGCCTCTCTCACATCTAGCCCTCACCCCGTCCTCTCCACCCCCTCCTCCTGTCTCCCTTGTGCCTGCAATGCCAGCGCTGGGGGGGAGGGGAAGGGGGACATGACAGTGTTGTGGGGCTAGCAGCATAATACTGGACCTTGAAAAACTGCGGGCCCCCATTCCTGATACCCCAGCTGCCCTGCCACCATTAAGCACCAGAGCAGGCTTGGTTCAAGAAGGCCCAAGTTCTAGGACTTCAGGACACCCGAAAGGTTCTGGTTTTAGGCCTCAAACAACCCCTCCTCCTCTCCTCGGCCTCCCAAAGATTAAACCCAGTCATCAAACAGATTCCCTGAGGGCAGAAGGTTGAAGCTGCAGCTCTGAGATCCCAGGGATGAAGGTTAGAGACTCAAACTTTCCTTTCCAATTTGGGATTAGAACGAGATGGGAACAAGGAGGGACCTCAGATCCTTAGGCAATGCAGAGAGGTGGGGTCCCAGGCAGGCAGAAGCCCAGCTGACTGGTATGTACGATGCAGAATGACAAAGTGCCCAGGTTTAGAGGAAAGTGGGGTGCCAATTTCTGGTTGCTATTTCTCCTTCTATCCCAGACATTCCCAGCGCCCCTAGTACCAGGGGAGTGACAAAAATCAGCATCATCTGTAAAACCTCAAATTTTCCAAAATGCTCTCAGCTCCATCACCTCACTGAATCTCTACAACTACCCATTTTACAGATGCAAAAACTGAAGCTCAGGCCACACAGCTAGTCAGTGGGTTATCCAGGGTTTGAAACAAAATCAAACTTCAAAACCTGCACTCATTTTTTGCAGTGGGGCTATCGAAGTATTGCTATAATTTCCCACTTCTGGAACTGAGAAACCTGAGGCTCAGAGAGGTAAAGACACTTGCCCAAGACCACACAGCAGCCCAGGACTCAAATTCTAGCCTAGGTTCCCAACCTCACCAACCCCAACCCCCCAGTAGTCTCTCAGCCTTTCCCCGCTCAGTGTCCCTTCCCCAACTCCCCAGCCCCCCTCCCAGCTCAGGCCCAGGAACAGTCACTGGCTATGTCTGAATGACACATCAGTGTGGAGTAGGGAGCCAAGGACTTCTTACTCCTGAGGTCCTGCTGTCCCAGATTAGAACACCAATAAGTGTTTGATGGGGTTGTGGGGGGGTGTCTGGTACAACGCACTTAGAGGTCAGACAGGCCTACATCCACTGACTAGCCGTGTGAGCCGGGTGAGTAATTCCTTTCACCTCGCTAAGCCTCAATTTTCCTCTCTGTAAAATAGGGCTAATCATGACCATTTCAAGATAAGATAGAGGAAGGCTCAGTAAACATCAGTGTCTTGCCTTTTCCTCTCAATTCTGATTTCTGATAGCAAGAAGAACAATAATCCTTCACCTGAAAGAAACATACATTCCACAAAGCAAATATAAAGGTCATTCTGTCCCAGTCCCAGCCCTTCTCTGGGCCTCAGTTTCCCACTTTATGAAACACCGGTAGTGAACTGGTAGTGGCTAGTTCTAGACAGGCCTCTAGTGAGCCTGGCAGAGGCTTCAGTGTGCCACCAGGGGGTGCCAAGCTCCAACCCCAGCTCAAAGGGTCTGGGCTCCCCCAGAACTGTGCCCTGTTGGGACCTGTCCTAACCACTACCCACATCAGGACAAAGCCCCGGCAGACAGACAGTGGATCTTGGGATTGACACAGTGCACGGGCCACAGGCAGGGACCCAGGAAGACTGCAGGAGACCTGAAGGCAGATGGGGTCCCCAGGGCAAGGAAAGCTGAGGCAAGGCCCAGGCTCCATATGAGCGGCCAGAACCGCAAAGTGGGCTTGACTTGGTCCCAAGACAGTGGGACAAGGGGCCCAAAGTGTGGTGGTAGGGGGCTGTCTTAGTTATCTAGTGCTGCTATAACAGAAATACCACAAGTGGATGGCTTTAACAAACAGAAATTTATTTTTTCACAGTCTAGGAGGCTAGAAGTCCAAATTCAGGGTGCCAGCTCCAGGGGAAGGCTTTTTCTCTCTGTCAGCTCTGGGGGAGGTCCTTCTCATCAATTTTCCTTTGGTCTAGGAGCTTCTCAGTGCAGGAACCTCAGATCCAAAGGATACACTCTGCTCCTGGCGTTGCTTTCTTGGTGGTATGGGGTCCCCATGTCTCTCTGCTCGCTTCTCTCTTTTATATCTCAAACGAGATTGACTTAAAACACAACCTATTCTTGTAGATTGAGCCCTGCCTTACTGACATAACTGCTGCTAATCCCACCTCTTTAACATCTCAGAGGTAGGATTTACAACACACAGGAAAATCACGTCAGATGACAAGACGCTGGACAATCACACAGTACTGGGAATCATGGCCTAGCCAAGTCGACACACATTTTTAGGGGACACAGTTCAATCCATAACAGGGGCTATCACAGCCATCTTCAGCACTAGTTGTCCCCATTTCCACTCTCTCCTTCTTCCTTTTTAAAAGAGCGTAAGATGAGAACATGCCACTCAGCTATTGACGTCTTCCAGGTCATCCTGGCAGCTAGGTGGAGCCCTTGACTGAGGTTTAACCAATGGGCTGAGAGCTGAAGTGATTTGAGCCATTCTGTTTTTAGGAGTGGGCATGCCCACCTGTGGCAGATTGTATTTTCCAAATAGCCACAAAAATACCTCCTATCCCGCATGTTTTTCTACATTGGGTCCATATCCTCTCCTCTTAAATGGGCTTGTGGCTGCTTTGACCAATAGAGCATAGTGGCAGATGCTATGTGACTTCTGAGGCTAGGTCAGACAAGGCAATGCTGCTTCCTCCTGGTTCTTTTGGGATGCTCTCGGCCGGGCAGGGGGCTGCCATATAAGAAGTCCACCCCCCTCAAGAGCTTCGTGCTGAAGAGGTCACTTGTACGTGCTCTGGTCAACAGCTCCAGCTGAGCCCCCAGCCAATAGCCAATCAACTGCATATGGGAGCCAGGCATGATCTTGGGCATCAGGCCAGGTGAGCCTTAGGATGACTGCAGCCCCAGCCAGCCTCTCACTGTAACCACAAGAGAGACTCCACATGAGAACCACCCAGACAAGCACTTCCCAATTTCCTGATCCACAAAATCACGAGCAAACTAAAATGGTTATTTTTAAGCTGCTACATTTTGGGGTAATTTGTTACACAGCATAATAACCAGACCACTTCCACTTTCCCCTTCCCTGCTTTTCCCATTGACTGAAATGCAAATGTGATGATGGTGGACCTTCTTCATCCACGTGGATGAGGGGCTAGAGAGCCACAGAATAGGAGCCTGGGTTCTTGGATGCCCTCAAGAAGCAGAGCTGCACCCACCCTCGATGCCACTAGCATTTTATGAAAGAGAGAAATAAATTTCTAACTTGTTTAATCCACTGTTAATTCTTTCTCTGTTTAAATAAAAGCCAAATCAATACCTAAGCCATGCAATATTTGTAAAACATATAACCCAGAGTCAGGCACATAAAACCCATTGCCACCGAGTCAATTCCAACTCACAGCGATCCTACAGGACAGAGTAGAACTGCCCCATAGGGTTTCCAAGGCTATAATCTTTATGGAAGGAACCCTGGTGGCACAGTGGTTAAAGCACTCAGCAGCTAATGGAAAGGTTAGCTGGTTCAAACCCACCACTCAATTCAAAGGAAAAAGATGTGGCAGTCTGCTTCTGTAAGATTTACAGCCTTGGAAACCCTATGGTACAGTTCTACTCTGTCCTATAAGGCTATTATGAGTCAAAATCAACTCAGTGACAGTGGGTTTGGTATGGTTTTAATCTCTATGGAAGCAGACTGTCACATCTTTCTCCTGTGGGGTGGCTCGTGGGTTCAAACCGCTGACTGTTCAGTTAGCAGCCAAGTGCTTAGCAATTACACCACCAGGCACATAAGTAAGTGCTTTTTAAAAAGGCAGAGCTATTATTATTTTCATTATTATTATTATTACTACATCTGAGTTTCCCACCACCTCTGAGTTTGGTTGAGTAGGATCAGCAGTGGATTAACCCCAGGAACCACTGCCCAACTCCCCTCAAAAGGAACACGAGATGAAGCCATGTCACTGACGGTCAGCCAGATACGGCAAGCCAGGCAGAAATTGTTCATGGTCATGCATAATCCATACCAGGTCTCTCTTCCATTAGCCTCAAACTGACCACAGCTCTCACAGGCAGACAGACAGATATGAGACCACGGGCACCAGATACTCAGAGACACTCCCTCCACCCCCAACCACAGCAGTGAACCAAAGCCACTGTTGTGGGCTCCCATTCCATTTGCTGTGGTGTAGAGCAAGTGGGATTGGGGAAGAGAGGCAGGAACAAAATGGGATAGGAAGTGGGTCTCAGATACTGGCAATACAGTGGGGAGAGTGTTTTAACCTTGTTACCTCAGATGAGGTATGGTGAGGCCAGACGCCAGATCAAGAGAGAGAAGCAGTAAGAGCTGAAAGGCTGTTGTTCTCACAGTTCCCTGGGGAGAACAGGGCAAGCCATGCAGGGCCAGCAGGGGAAACACCAGGGTTGGTCACGAGGCAGAGAGAGAGAGAGCAGAACTTTGATCAGGAAGGAAAGAGCAAGGCAGGCATGCAGGCTTCCAGCTGATTGGCTAGTTTTGAAAGAGACGCCCCTGCGAAGGCCATGTCTGCTCTGTTGAGGTGTGTGCTTGGGGGCTGTCTAAGGTTTCCACATGTTCTTGGGTGATGATGTTTACTCAAGTGCAGTGAGGGGCCATCTTGTGGATGTGAAAGCATCACTTTAGAGAAACTGAGGACTTGGGTAATACAGAGAGAGGGCCAGAGTAACTAACTCTGCCCCACAAAATCTGGAAAGGCTTCTGGGAGGAGGTGACTGCTACTCTGAAGATGTTTCCCAGACCAAGGAGAGAGAAAGGGCTCTGCAGTGGGGAAGAGTAGCCTGGGCAAAGGCACAGAGCACCAGAATCCACATAGCCGGTGACCTGCACCAGGCCCTGCACCTGCTCCTCTGCCTCGCCCTTCCAGCCCTACCTCCACCGCCCTGGGCCTGGCCTTCTAGCCAACCAGGCTGAGCAGGGCACGCAGACAGAGGGAGACTGGAGGGCAGCACAGGGGAGGGTGGGTGTCAGAGCCTCATGGCCCCCTAGGGCAGGTTGTGTCCGAGCAGGGGTCTCCCCTGCAGCTGTGGCAGAGCCAGCCTTAGAGTCTTCTCTCCTCTGAGAGCCACCTGATGCAAATAGTCCTGCGTGGCCCCTACCCTCCTCAGTGACACTGCCCAGCCTTGCTGCCCTTCCTACCCTCTCTGGGGCTGGAGCTTTGGCTTCAACCTGATTCTTCTCCCTCATCCCCCAGCTCCCTGCCTCGGGCTTAGCCAGGTCCTGCTGAACTAGGGACTCAGGAGAGACCCCGCACAGAGAAGGCTGTGTCTGAGTGGGGAGACACAGGCCTTCTTTCAGGGAACCCCCAGACCCCCAGAGAAGAGCGACAGGACACAGAGAAGCTGACAGAACTCTCAGCAGACAGAGCAGTGGCCATAAGAGCTGGGTGAACAGGGAGGGCAAAAAGAGTGCAGGACAGATCAGGGAAAATTAAGGCTGGCTTCCTGGAGGAAAAGGACTAGAAAGGAAGGGTGTTCAGGGAAGAGAAGCCCTCCAGAAGGCTCTGGAATGCCTTATGGTCATAGGTGCAGAGTGGTGAGGGATTTGGTTAGACTTCAGTTTAAAATCCATGGTCAGCCTTCGGTGGCTAGTCCAGGAAAAGGGGTGGATGCAGGAGGGTGTTCCTATGGCTTTGTCACCAGGAAGGCACAGTTTGTGACTTAGCCACTAAACATGAATTCAGCGGGGGGAGGGGAGAGCATGCTGGGGAAAAAGGAAGCCGCCATAGGCCCACTGCTGTTCCTTCTCAGGGAATGGGAGATGTTAGAAATGACCTCTTCCCCCAGCACACACACACCAGCCCCCCATGGTTCTTCTTCTTCCACAGCCCCCTCTTGGGTCCCATCCACCACCAGCCACTACAGCCCAGGGGGCTAGTAATACACCTCCTCAAGGAACCACCCTGGGGCCTAGGGCACAGAAAAAAGGGCTGGAGATTCCAGTCATTCCCCAACTCCCCTTCATCTTTGATAGGAATTGAAGTGTAGAAGCTGGCAGCTTTGTCCCCATCTACTGTCTTAGTCTGCCTAGCATGTTGTTTCCACCCTGCCCCAACCTCCTCGCAGACTCCGGCCCCTCCTCTTTGTCCTGTTCTTCCCCCTCCTCCTTTTCAAGAAGCCCCTATCCTGCTCCCGCCGGACTAGAAAGTTCCAGGAGATCCCTTGTCTTAGTGTTGCCCAGCCTGCGGCTTTTCTCTAAGCTCCTAGCTGAGGGAGCACCCCCCCCCCACCTCCGCCAGCTTTGTCCTGGAGTGATCGGGGCTGATACATGTTTGAGGCCCCCAGTTTTATCTCCCTCCCCCTCCTGTCTCCACCCTCCACTTCCACCTGGATGCCACCTCCAGGAAGGAGAACGAAAAGAAAATATAAACACACACTCTGTTTCTGTGAAATTTGCTCTTTTATTTTGGGACCAGGGGAGGACTAGACACAGCCCTCCCGTCCAGGGGCCGGGAGCGCCGAGAAAAGGGCTGGGGACTCCACTTTGAACCCCCAGAAGCAGCCGCCAGGGAAAGGACTCCAGGTCCAGGGGTCAGGAGCAAATATGCAAATGAGGTTGGTGTGGTTGGCATATTTCCCAGGAGGCCCGGGGTCATCACCACATATAGGCGTCTTCTGAGCTGTAGAGGGAAAGAAAAGGAGTCACTCGGGAGCCCAGCCTCGGATCTGGAGAGCGGTGGTGCCAAGGTGGGCGTTCCATGGCGTAGCAGGACCAGGCCATGCTCTAGGAGGCAGACGTTTGGTGAGGGGGGCACATTACCGCGACCTGACGGGACTTCCCTCGCCGTCCAGGAAGAGCAGTTTTGAGAGTAGACCTTCGGGGCTGTCGCGTTTCCCATACCTGGAGGGGGCGAGGCCAGATGAGGGTGTGGTCAGGTCAGGGCACGCCCCTGGGTGGAGGAGGCAGAAGCGCGGGAGCCCCGGGAGCCCCCTGCCGCGCCCGTCCCGCACAGGCGCTCACCGCTGCCGGGTGACCAGGTTGAGGTAGTGGCGCAGGGAGGTGTAGTAGCGGCTCAGCTCCTCCGGAGAGGCGTCCTCGCCGGGAGCTTCGGGTTTGGCGGGGTAGGCGTCGACCATCTCCCCCAGGCAGGCGAGCAGAACCAGCAGCACTGCAACCCTGGCGGGCCATGACCTGCGCCCCTTTGTCATCTGGAGAGGCAGCATGGGAGCATGGGTCCTTGCGAGCCTCGATTCCCGACGGCTGGAGGCAGCTTTGAGGCTGCGGTTGCCCGGTTGGGCCTCCCGGCTCGCTGTGTGTCCTCGGGCACTGCACCGTTTCTGGCCTCAGTCTCCCCATCTCTCAGGAATAAGCCCTGCCTGCTCCCGCTCTACCCCTACACGCTGCTGCCCAGTGAGGCAGGTGGAGGGACAGGACCATACTGGCAGCGGGGGCTCCCAGGCTCCTCTCCTTCCCACCTCTGCTGGCCTTCCTACAATCCAGCTTCCCGCCACTCAGCCTCAACTTCCACCATCCTAGCCTCAGTTTCCCTGGCGCCGGACCATCCCTGGCCCCAGGCCACTTACAGCGACAGCTCCCGAAGCAGAGAAGAGCAGGAGGTGAAAGGCAGGGAAGTCCCAAGTGCTGGACTGCTGCAGGTCCTGCTGCGGCCTTCTCTGCTGCTGCTCGGCTCTCTTTGCGGGGCTTATATCCCGACCTGGGAAGGGAGGGGGAGCCCGAGAGGAAACGGGAGCCCGAGGGGGAGGGCCCTTCCTCCTCTCTCCTTCCACCCCGCCGGTTCGCTGAGCTTACACCCAGCAAGTGGGTGATGTCTCTACCTCATTTAGGAGCTGTGGGGGGCAGCCACCCTGCTCAAGATCGGGGTCCCTCTGGACCAGGTGCCTAGCCTGAACCCTGTCTTCACCCCACAGCCCCCCCAGTGACAGGTCTAGCCTCCTGAGGAAGTGTGGCGTTTGGATTCAGACTGCTGAGGCAGCCCCTACCTAGGATCAGGGATGAGCTTCCATCCTCTTCATGGTGGTGGTGGGGGGTGGGTCCTCCAGCCTGGGACTGCCCCGCAGAAAAGAGCACCTGTCCAGACCCTGTTTGGTAACACCTTGGAGAAGGGCCGAAAAGTGGACCAGGACCTATGGGGAAAGTTTCTAGTGGAGGCAGGAGTGGAAGCACACGACCTCTTGCACCTGACCTGCTGTTTATGATGTCCTGGGGGGCCTCTCTGGACATCCCATTATGTCCTCTCTCAGTTAAAGAGTTGGGGAGAAGGCAGAAGCCAGTCCTCTACCCAGAGCAGCTGAGTCTGCCACCTGCATCCAGCCTGGCACATGCAGACAGGGGTCCACCCAGGCCTGGCATGGAGCCCTCTCCAGAGGCAGTGTGCCCCCAGGTGTCACTCATGGCACTGGTGACTTCGGGGGCTAGATGGTACCAGGGCTACCCAGCACAGACCACTGTCCCAGCCCATTGGGGTCTCCACTGGGCGTTAGAAGGAAAAAGGAGAGGATGAATATTTGTTAAATACCTCCTTGGAAACTCTGTGGGGCAGTTCTACTCTGTCCTATAGGGTCGCTATGAATTGGAATCAACTTGATGGCAACAGGTTTTTTTGGGTTTGGTACTACGTGAGGTTGCTATGAGTCAGAATCGACTAGATGGCAGTGAGTTTGTACTACATGAAAGGAGCCCTGGTGGCGCAGTGGTTAAGTGCTCGGATGCCAACCAAAAGTTCAGCGGTTCAAATTCACCAGCCCTACTGCTTGAGAAAGATGTGGCAGTCTGCTTCTGCAAAGATTTACCACCTTGGAAACCCTATAGGGCAGTTCTACTGTGTCCTATAGAATCGCTGAGTCAGAATCAACTCAAGGGCAGTGGGTTTGGTTTTTGGTTTGGTACTACATGATCTCAGGCACAATAACGCAACGGGCTGAGTTTATTCCCATTTTCCAAATGAGGAAACTGAAGATCTGAGAGGTGAGATCACGCAGGAGCCAAACAAGAGAAAAGAGGTGTGGTGGACCCCAGGAAAAGACCTTCTCAATCATGGAGGGTGGAAAGGCTCAGCACCAGGAATAATCATCAAGACTCAGGAGTCAGGCATGAGGGCAGAGGAGGAGAGGCCAAGTCCGGGGCCTGCTACCAGCTCTGAGAGAGCCAAATAGAGGAGGGGCTTCCAGGCTGCCAACCCTATCCGTCCACCTGCCCACACCACCGAGAGACAAAGGGCTGTTGGGGAGTGTCCCAACAGCTCCCCTTCTTTTGCCTGACCAGAGCCTCCAGGGCTTCCAGGCATCCTATCAGCCCCTGTGGGCAGAGGGGCCATCTGATCCAGGCCCGATTCTGGGCCAGACCCTCCACCCTCCAGGACAGATGGCTGAGGGTGCTATTTTTAGAGCTCTCCTGAGATGAAGAGCCCAGGTCTACCTCAATCACCTTGTTTACGGGTTCAATTACCTGCACTCTCCGGAAATGGCTCCTTATCAGTCATTCGGCCCTCATGGACCCTGCACATGGGAGAGGCCAGGGCTCCTTGCTGAGGATGAAGGACACCAGTAAGGTGACACATAGGCCCTACCTCAGAGGGAGAAAAACAAAATTTTCCTCCTCAGGGAGCCCTAGTCTGAGGGGCAAGGCACAGCCCCATCTTCCCAGAACCCCAGTCTAAAAGGAGAGTCATGGCTGTGTCCTTGGGGATCCCCAGTCTGAGTACCACTGGGGAGTCCCAGTCTAAGGGGGGAGGCACTCCACCGTCCTGGGAGAGCCCCAGTCTCAGGAGATTCCCAAAACACAGAGACAGAGAAACAGACACAGAGACAAGCCTGTGTCCAGTTTGAAGGAGACAGCAGAAATAAAACCATTCCAGTCCTCCATAGGTCACGGGAAGACAAAAGACAGAAGCTCACATAGGGATGGAGTGGGCAGCCAGGGGCTGGTTGGGAGACTGTAATCCCAGGATCAGGGTCTAGACAATGACCATCAGGCTACAGGAGGCAAGGATACCAGAGACTTTTAGCGGTGGTGGGGTTTGCACTTTGACCCAGCAGCACTAGTTAGGAGGTGGGTGAGGGCCAGCAGGGAAGTAGTTTGTAGCGTACTGATGGGGCAGAGAGAGAGGAAGGAAGCTCGTGTGATGCCCACAGGGAATCTGTGGCATATCTGGAACCCTCTAATGCCGAGGGGAGTGTGGGGTCCAAGGGCAGATGGGGGAAAGGAGAAACAGCGGAGAAACTAGAAGGTGTAGAGGAAGGCCTAGGTTCAGGAAATCCTCCCCCCACCTTTAGAGTGAAAGTAAATGGGACCTGAGGTCATCCCTGGGTGTTGACCAGGAGCCAGCCTCCCACAGCCTCACAAGCTCTCCTTGTCTCTGACACCCCCACCCTCCAATTCTACTCAGCAATTACAGGGCAAGGTGATTGGTTCATTAATCACCACCTCCTTATTGGGGAGCTTATTAACCTGTTGATTAGTGCAGAGGATGTCTCAGCCCTCTATCAATGGACTCAGTTACCCCCACCCACCCACACACCCACCACTACCATTGATGGATGACTTTGCCGCCTTGAAACATGTCTGGGGAATAGCGGGTTGGAAGGTGAGGGGCTGACATCTGCGAAGGGAGAAATTTCAGAATCAATTGTAATTGCAGACTTGGGACCAGGCCCTGGCTCCAACCTGTCTTCAGAGGGTAAAGGGGCAGAATCATTATCACTGGGGTTCCCTTGGTCCCTGTTCTCAGTGCACCTAGCATGGCCACACTAGAGATCAGGGAGGCCATGGACTTGGGCCCCAGCAGGCCATTCGTCTTGCCCAGTGGGTTCAAGGGCAATTCATCAAGATAGGGCCACTCATCCCTGAGGCTTAGCATTCTGTATCCCACCATCCACCCACCCTTGGCGACTCCCTACACCCAAGGCCTCTCTGAGACGTACCGTGCACTGCACGGCACTGCTCCACTGCTTTCCACCCTCAGACCAGGCCTCATGTCCAGGGGCCTACGTGCCATAGACAGCAGGTTGCCGTGCAGCAAGAGTGATTCAATCCTCATTCAGCAAACACTTATTAAGCCCCTACTATGTGCTAGATGGAGCCCTGGTGGCACAGTGGTTAAGAGCTTCGGCTGCTAACCAAAAGGTTGGCAGTTCAAATCCGCTAGTTGCCCCTTGGAAACTCTATGGGGCATTGCTACTCTGCCCTATAGGGTCGCTATGAGTTGGAATCGATTTGACGACAATGAGTTTGTTTGTTTGTCTTTGGATGTGCCAGGTGAAGGAGCCCTGGTGGTGCAGTGGTTAAGCACTCAGCTGTTAACCAAAAGGTTGGCAGTTCAAACCCACCAGCAGCTCCACAAGAGAAAGATATGGCAGTCTGCTTCTGTAAAGACTACAACCTTGGAAACCCTATGGGACAGTTCTATTCTGTCCTATAGGGTTGCTATGAGTTGGAGTCGACTCAACAGCAACAGGTTTTTGGATGGGCTAGGTAGGGGACCTGGTGGTACAGTGGTTAAGTTCTTGGCTGTTAACCAAAAGGTTGGCAGTTCCAACTCACCAGCCGCTCCGTGGGAGGAAAGACTTGGCAATCTGCTCCCGTAAAGATTACAGGCTGGGAAACCCTATGGGGCAGCTCTACTCTGTCCTATAGGGTCACTATGACTCAGAATCAACTTGACAGCCCATAACAACAACGACTGTACCAGGTATTGTTCTAGGTACTGAGGACAGAGCAAAAAACAAACAGGCAAAATCCCCGCCTTCACGGAGCTTACATTCTAGTGGCAGGAAATAGAAAATAAATGAATAAACAGTAAGCATGTAGTATGTCTGACAGTGGCGTCATGAGGGGATGTGGGGAGTGTGGACCGCACCAGGTGACACTGTCAGAGGGCTGACACCAAAATGACACTCTGTAAAATTTTGTGCAGTGTTTCAGCAGAATATTAGTTTTTACAAAAATATCTCTGGTAGTGTGCAAGTCAGCACAACTGGACTAAACCAAAAGCTAAGAAGTTTCCTGAATACAACCAAATACTTTGAGGGACAAAGTAGTAGGGGCAGGGGTCTGGGGACCATGGTTTCAGGGGACATCTAGGTCAAGTGGCATAACAAAGTTTATTAAGAAAATGTTCTGCATCCCACTGTGGTGAGTGGCGTCTGGGCTCTTAAAAGCTAGCGGGCAGCCATGTAAGATGCATCAATTGGTCCCAACCCACCTGCAGTAA